AAGTTTGACCGCTATGTGTCTGTATGTCTGTCTGTGTGTCTGTCTGTGGCACTGTACCTCTTATAAAAATATAAATAATAAATAAATAATAAAAAAATCACACCCATATCTGTTTACCCGTTAAACCGATTTGTGTGTGATTTTTTTAAAGGCAGTTCAGCCGTTTCAAGGTTAGCAGCTTTTCTTGGTTTTAGGGGTTTTAAAAAATGTCAATATAAGTCGTATTATTGATTTTTTGTAACAAGAAAAACTTCACATCGTTCACCTAATCGTTACCCATATGCCTTCTCTTATAATGGAGTTTTTAAAACAAGTAAACCCCACTTCAAAACCTAAAATGAATTAAAAAAATCACATCATGTCTTCTGAAATCGGGTCTTTAATCCATATAAATAATCTTGGTACTGAATTTAGAAAATATAAAATTGCTAGCTGTTCCCCGCGACTTCACCCGCGTGTAATCTAAGATTTTAATATTTTTGCGCGGAACCCTAATTCTTCTTCTAAAATAAAAGTAGACGAAGTTACTGCTTAAAATTTCCGTCAAAATCGGTCCAACCATTTCGCAAATTAGTCGGAACAAACAGACAGACAAAAATTTTAAAAATTGTGTTTTTGTTATAAGTACCGTATATAGGTACTTTCATATGCATTTAGTAAAAAAACTGTTATTTTGATATTACGAACAGACACTTCAATTTTATTTATTTGTATATCTATATATATGTATATTGTGTATGTATATGCATAGATTTGAAAATTATTACATTGAGGTGGACTAAGCAATATCATAACCACACATCGTGATAATTTCTTATATTTACGCGGATACCACGTTAAATAAAACTTTTTTTTTATTTTTCACGGATTTTGTCAGGTTTTATTTTAAAATCAAACTATTTCTACTACTAGAGAAACAATTTAAAATTAAAGTCGAAAAAATCCGTAAAATTAGTTTTATTTAAATTTATTTATACGTGGTAGAGCCATACAGGTAGCTGCACTATATTGTGGTTGTATCACAAATGGGTCGACTCGACCTTGATAAGACCACGCTCTAACAGAATACCAGCGTAAAATAACACTTCAATACTCATGAGTTTCGTAAGTTCATTGTAGCGAACCGGAGACGCTTTTTACTGCAAACGAGGCATTCTATCTTAGTTAGTCCTCACGGGTGCCAACGCAACTACATTTTGATTTTTAATTGAGTATAGATGTAGATGTCTATGGGTCACAGCATCCACCTACCATCAGGTGGACTGTGTGCTCATTTGTCACATTTATACTATAAAATAATTCTTATGTCGTCTAAATTAAGCATTAAAATTTTCATTACCTCTTTAGGGGGAATTTTTTCTTAAATTTTGATATAGAAGCAACCTATATACCAAAAAAGAATTCTTAAAATTGTTTCACAATTGCCGATGATATCGCGTAAAATAAAACATACAATCGAATCGACAACCTCATCTTTTCTTGAATTCGGTTAAATACTTTAATTCTATGTGAATACTACTTTCATCATCATCATCATTACAGCCCTTCACAAGTCCACTGCTGAACATAGGCCTCCCCCAAAGAATGCCACAAAGCACGGTCCTGAGCCACCTGCATCCATCGACTTCCTGCAAATCTTACCAGGTCGTCACTCCATCTCGTGGGGGGACGCCCTACACTTCGCCTGCCGGTACGAGGCTGCCACTCGAGAACCTTTCTTCCCCATCGGTTGTCGGTTCTTCGAGCTATATGGCCGGCCCATTGCCACTTCAGCTTACTAATCCGTTGGGCTATGTCGGTCACTCTGGTTCTACTGCGGATATCCTCATTTCTGAGTTTATCACGCAGAGAAACTCCGAGCATAGCCCTCTCCATAGCTCGCTGAGCGACCTTGAGCTTCCTCATCCGGCCAGCAGTGAAGGACCACGTCTCAGTTCCGTATGTCATCACTGGCAACACGCACTGGGTGTACAGTCTCGTTTTCAAGTTTTGAGGTATACCTGACGAGAAGATGTGCCGTAATTTCCCGAACGCTGCCCAACCGAGTTGAATCCGTCGATTGACCTCTCGGTCGAAGTTGGACTTACCTAGTCGGACTATTTGTCCCAGGTAAACATACTCGTCAACAACTTCGAGCTTAGTGTTCCCAACAACTACCGGCATAGGTGTGACATGGACATTAAACATGATCTTTGTTTTGTCCATGTTCATCTTAAGACCTATCCGTTGGGAAACACTATTGAGGTCATTGAGCATAGTGCTTAGGTCCTCCAGCGATTCTGCCATAAGGACTATATCGTCGGCAAATCGAAGGTGAGTGATGTACTCGCCATTGATGTTGATACCGTATCCTTTCCAGTCCAGAAGCTTGAAAACATCTTCCAATGCAGCGGTGAAGAGTTTCGGGGATATGACGTCACCCTGTCTTACACCTCTCTGCAATTGGATAGGTTTCGTACTCTGGTTCTGTACTCGGATAGCCATCGTAGCCCTACTGTACAAGCACTTCAACACTTCGATATACCGACAGTCAACTTGGCATCGCTGAAGGGACTGCAGCACCGCCCAAATTTCGACGGAATCAAAGGCTTTCTCATAGTCCACATACGCCAGACATAGTGGCAAATTGTACTCCTCGGACTTCTGTACAATTTGCCGAAGGGTATGTATGTGGTCTATGGTGCTAAAGCCTTTTCGGAAACCGGCTTGTTCGGGAGGCTGGAAGTCGTCAAGTCTGCGCGCGAGACGATTCGTAATGACTCTCGAAAACAGCACGTAGACGCGGCTCAGAAGGGAAATCGGTCTGTAGTTCTTCAAGAGAGCGTTGTCGCCTTTCTTGAAGAACAAGACCACCGCACTTCTGCTCCACGCCTCCGGTGTAATGCCACCATGGAGGACGGAATTAAAGAGCTTCTGAAGGACTTCAAGTACCGGTTTTCCACCCGCTTTCAGAAGCTCCGCTGTAATTTTTCAGAAGCTCCGCTGTAATTACTACTTTAATTCAAAATAATTAGTGATTTTTACTACCGATAAATCTTTACGTAATGCTTAAGATAATGAATGTATACTGGAATATAATAACTTGTTGATAGTAATGTTTCAAATGTAAACAAGTTTTGTTTTTATGTTAAATAGATTGCTTATCGTTAACGATTACATAAAAGACCTTGTTTTCTATAATTGCAATATCAATTTTGCTCGCAATCGTAATTAGGTTTAGTAATTGGATCATTCTCTATATTGCAGTGAGTCAATAGACAACTTTTTATAACAATATTACATTAATCAACACATTTTACTATAAATATAAGACGTTAGAAAAATATAGCACTAGGAGGTTAAAGTAATATTTTGAAATATATTTATTTTCCCTTTTCAAGACGTACATATATGTACGTCTTCGTACTAACGATACGATTTAATTTTACCAGAAGATCTTTTTCTGCTTAGTGATACGTTTGTGTTTGTTAGTAATTAGTATATACCTATTTATTACGTCAAACAACAGTGCGTCCACATTTGCAGATAAAAGAAGTAAGTGAGTTAATATAATTTTAACTGTGAGTTATTTTCATCTTAGTACTTCTAGTATTAAGGGTTTTTAAAAAATGATAGCGCATATTTCAACGCAAAAAATATTTAATACTTTCTCCATGAATCATGTAAAGAGTACATAGTTATACTTCTTCATAGTTATATGTTATACTTCTATGTACTCTTTATATGATATATATATCCCAGAGGAGGGAATGAGATGGTATTTTAAAGATTTTTTACCCCGAGTGTAAATTTACATTGGAGTGTTTCTTTTAAAGATTCCCCTATTAATAGCATGCTGTAGTTTTAAACCGAGTTTAATCGTTGAGGTTCTATATTCGACTCAAAGATTTTTAAGTATTTATAAAGAGGTAAGTGTGACAAACGATCACACCCTACTCCACCTAATTTGCAGATTTTTCATCGATTAAGAAACATTAACATTTATCATCGATTAAGAATCAAAATGCAATCAAATGTATGTTTAACGGTATCTCAGAAACAGCTGGACCGAATTCAATAATTTTTATTTTATTATAACATAGCTTATAATTCAGGGATGATCCCATATATGCTTAAAGAAAAATTTCACCCCTAAGGGTAGAAAAAATGGTTTAAAGTTTGTAATGGAACTATTTAGAACACATTCTAGTTCTTACCTTGAATTTTGAATATTCTGTACACCTTTAAAAATTGAGCAATTGCAGCTAAGAGACTATTTCGTTATAGTTTATTTTAAGTACATATTAATAATCTAATTTAAAATAAAATGCAAAAAGGACCAAGTTTTACGACACTACTGAAACAACTGTCAACTTTCCAATTCCATGGAAGTCTAACATGATGTCCATGACTTCCATGGAAGGAAACAGTCTGCATAGACAGGTCAGTGTAGTTTCTGTAGTATTGTTTTTTTTTTTAGATTTCTTAATCGAATGTTTCTTTTTTTGACGAAATATTTTACATTTGACACCGCACGCTTCACAGTATATAATTGTCCTAGCTTTATTATGACATCTAGATTGTGCAGAAACAGATAAGAATGTGTAGCCATATGAAATCCTAGGCGGAGAAGGACGATTTATTTTTTCTACCACTATATTATTAACTAAACAATTTTTCACATCTAGTAAAGTTCTAGTTTATATAGCAAAAACTGATAAAAAGTTTATTTTTATAGAAAAAGGGTAACAAACGAGTATGCAGTCCACATGTCCACCAAATGGATGCTATCGCCCATAGACATATCTTCATCTGTCCTTGATTAAGAATAAAAATGTAGATGCCTTACGCTATGTATCACCCCTGAGGACTAAGATGGATTGTCTCGTTTCTAGTAAAAAGTTTCTCCGAATCTCTACACTCACTATACAAAACACACCAGCATTAAATAACTATTTCACACCCGTATTCTGTAGTTTATTTTGTTGACATTTATATCTTTTAATATTTTCAGCATCAAAATGGTAAGACTAACGCCGGAACAAAAGCAGTTCTACAAGGATAACGGTTATATTCTAATCAAGAACCCGTTCACAGAAGAAGAGCTGACAAGATTGTGTAACGAATATGAAAATCTGTTCCAAAGAAAGAATCAAGACAAGACAGAAAGTTCCTGGGTCGGAAGCGACGATAATTTTAGAGAAAACAACGGTCCATATACGGTAAAAAATAATTTATATAGAGTAATGTAAAGTTATATCCTATATAAGTCCAACTCCTGGGTACAGGTCTTGTCTCATGTCCCAAAATGTTTTGGCAGGCTTCACATCTTCGAAATATTTTTGTCTTTAATTTCTCAGATATGCAGGTTTTCTCACGATGATTTCCGTCACCGCGGAGGACGACGTAACTGAGCACCTGAAATTGCAATGAACAATTTAATTGGTGTTGGCGGGGATCGAACTTTGGTTGCTCGCGTATTATGAAATTTACAGCAATTGCTTCCTCTTGCAATCCCTGAGATGCCACAACTTTTATGGTGAGTGTTACATGCAAATCTCTTTAACTGCAAAATTATATTTGTGGAGCTAATTAAAATGAAAATCCCATATAAATACCATCACTAGCTAACACTATCATTTGTTATATATTTAAATATGTATACGTTCTTAAAAAGAAATGTATGTACATTTGTAAGATCAAATTCAAATCCAAATTTCTTTATTTGCCATAAATAGTATTATGTTTTTACAATAAAAATAAGTTGCTTAAAGACCTATTTAGTCATGACATCCGGCATGCAAAATTTTAAAATGACAAAATATAGGTGTTAGTAGATTCTTAAATGTCAACTTAATAAATGTAACTTATATATTTCAAAATGTCATAATTTACAGTGTCAATGTCATAATTAAAATTTAAAAGCATTCAATCAATAATTCAATGTCAGATAAAATACTGATACGCAGTGATACACACAGCAATTACTTACATCATATGTCAACAAGCATATTATATATTATCATTTTAAAATTCCTTAACACTATAATAACATTCGTTTATTAGCTATTCACGTAAATTTTTAGTCATGAGACTCATTTTATTCACATGCTGTAACAACTATTCTGATAGACAGAAGTTTCGCCTCCTCTATTCTCCTAAATTATACGTCCGATTTAGAGAAATGATATCTCATTCGATTTGTCATAAATAGGCGGGTAAAATTACTTGAATTGAATGATACAGTTTTCCATCGAATAAATTATAACTTGGCAGAATATAAAATGAATTAAACCATTTTATTCAGGCAATTGTCATTTTGAATTTGTTTATGTTGCATTTTATCCTATGAATAAATTTTAACTGAGGATTGAAACATAGCCTCTTATTATATTATTATTAAATTAGTGTACTCCAGACCGAATTTCAGTCACGGTGGAGACTAGCCGTTGACGCCGAATAGGATTATAGTGCCCAAGTGTATTCACAAACACAGGTGCAGTCCCTCAAGAAAAAGTCAATAACTGATATATTTAATATATTTAATAATGAAATTATTATTATCTAAAAAATATACACAATATATTAAGATCACGTTGTGACCAGGATTAAAAAAGGAATGCTTCGGTGGTTTGGTCATGTAGAAAGAATGAACGAGGAAAGAGTGACAAAGCAAATTTAAGTTACAGAAATGAACAGCAGAGTCGAGAAGGGACGCCCTAGACGAAGATTTATCGAACAAATCGGCGATACATTGAAAATGGGCCAGATTAGGAGTACCCTTAACCGACGAGCGTGTATGCGTAGATACCTATCTACGCATACACGCTCGTCGGTTAAGGGTGTAAAGGAGGCGAGAGAGGTGTAACACGATCGCGCCAAATGGAAGTCCGTAATCTCTGCCTACCCCTCTGGGTAACAGGCGTGAGTGTTTTGTGTGTGTGTGTTATTAAAATAATAATGAGTTCATAATTCATAATATCTTATATTTTACTTATCTCTTAGTTACTCACTAAAAACTCCTGCTTCGATCAATATGTTTTGTTATGTATCATTTTTTATATTTTACATTTTTCTTAGGTGAAAGGAATCCACAACCTGCAGATGCATCATGCCGAATTCGGGAAGGTGCTGTACCACGAGGAACTATTGGATGCGCTCGAAGATATCATGGAAACGAAAAATATAGCTCTCCACCACACAAAGGCTCATTACAAGCCTCCAGAAAGAGGAGCTTCATATCCCATGCACCAGGTAAAAGAAGCAACTCGTCTCCTTGTTATTTATGTTGACATGGTTTGGACGCGACGCGTTATTACTGTTACCGTTACAGCCTATTAAAGTCTACTGCTGAATATAGGCCTCCCCATTGCTTACCCTATAGGGGGGATATTTTTCTTAGTTGCCACAGCACAGCCACAGCAGGCAAGCAGGTTGGCAAGCGATGTTTTATATTTTTAATCATTATTAAGAAGACGCTGCTTCCCATCCCCTGATTTGTTGACCTGTGTCGCCTCTTACGACACCCACAAGATTATATGGGGTAGTGGTATTCTTACAACAACACTACACGGCAATATGTTCTTATCTTCACCGAATTACACTTACACAAAATTGCAATTAGAAATTTTAGAAATGCAAAGATAGAGAAGCAATAAGTGAGCAGTCCAGCACCAATGAAATTGTAATAACAATATCTAACGCTGATTTACAATGTCCTCGATGCTGAAGGTAAACATAGTGAGGCAACCATGCAGGTTCTGTGAAATTAAAAATTTTGAGGTCATGGGAAGGAAAAGAAAATCACTGGAGCACCGCGGCGGACAAATTGTTTCACAACTATTTTAAAACTAAGAGGACCTGGCAGGCTATTCCTTTACTTTTTACTTTTATTTGAAACTCTCGATTCTCGCTTACTATATAATTGCTCCTCCTCCTGAGTAAACCAAAAAGGAAATCTGATAGTATATTTATCGTCTGAGTGGTAACAGAAACGGTTTTACGTTGAATTTCCTGAGGTTACACGTATTCCATGTGCTAATTCTGGACATGATGACATCAACATCTGATGAAAAAGAAGAAGATTTCAAATAATAAAGTTTCTATAATGGAATCCATTTAAAATTAATCACTGTTTCATACTTACAGGACTACCACTATTTCCCTTACAAAAACGATTCAATGGTTGCGGCATTCATCAATTTGGACGATTCATCGCCTGAAAATGGAGGCCTATTTGTCTACCCGGGGTCACATAAGCTAGGACCACTGGACGACGTTGGTGGACGGGAAACGAAACATTTTCACTATGTAGATCAGGTAAGTACTGATATATAACTAAATTCCAACATTTTTTATAGAACTGCAGTAGCCAAATAGCTTAGTTAAATTTGATAAACTAAACTGTCTCTTGTTTGAAAGTGAAATTTAAAAAAAATATGAGTTTGAAAAAACTTAGAAAATTCGCATTGATTGTGAACTGTGACGATCCTGGTAATTATTTTATTTTATCCTAGTGGTCCTGATCAGGATACTAGGATAAATTTATTAAATTATTATATTGTCAATTTTCAAGTCAATCGGCCGTCTACAAGTAGGTAAACGGGGGTAGTTGGAAAATTATATTGAAAATTCCGTTACATAGATAAATAGATAGATACAATTAGATACACGCGAAGCTAATAAAAGCGTGTTAAAATAACAAATTTCATAATCACTAACATAAAGTTTTTTTTTAATATTTAAAATATTTTGTAACAATGAACAAAACTATAGTAACAACCTTTCAAATTGTCCACCTCATATTACTATACTGGCTAGTGTGCGAGTATATGTAAATTACTTTTGAAGTATTATGTAATCACTGTTATCAGTTACTTAAGTAAAATAATTGATATAGAACTAGTAATAGAAAAGTGAATTGTTATAGGAATAGGGATAGATATAGGGATAGAGATAGAGATAAAGATAAATATAGAGATAGTGATACAGATATAGATAGAGATAGATATATAGATAGACGATGATGTAGAGACATAGATGAAGAAGTAAAAAGATAATTTTTCCGATTGATACTAAGACTCCAACCATTTTCAGAGCAAATTTCCGATAGAAAAGGCGACGCCGGTTATTGCTCAGCGTGGTGACGTTGTTGTCTTCTCCTACCTTCTAGTGCATGGCAGCACACCTAATCTTTCCACGAAACCAAGACGTATGCTACTGATCCAGTACGCTGACGCTCATGATGAACCAGTAGCAGGTGAGAAAGCCCAACCTGGTCGAGGTTTGGTGCTAAGAGGTGTAAACATGAACAGAGATGCTACAGTCGCGAATCGTCATGTTGAATAATGCAGGCTTTATTTATTTACTGCACGCCTTAAATTAAATTAAAGTAATACTAATTTGTAGTTAGACTTAGAATAGTTAGCGAAATATTGTTATAAGAAATATGAAACTGGCCTAGAATATCTAAAATACTTCAGGAAAGAGAAGATTACTGAGCTCTGTGTATTTTTTTTTTAGTTTTAACGGTCAATTAGCGGATATCAAAAATGAAGAAGGTTCGCAATCCGATTGTATTTTTTGTACGTACGGAACTCGATATATTCGCTTATTTTAAATTAATTTGAATGATTATTTTTTTAATAAAAATCCTATGTGCTAAGACATACATACAACTTCAGAAGATATTGAATAATGTGAAAATTATTTTTTTCATTTAATTTTTACTTTAATAAGTTTAAGTATTTATTATTGAGTACAGTTTTACCTTTTACAGCAAGTTTATATTAATTTTATCCAGATCCGTTAATAATAAAACTCAGAGTATAAATTTTAATATTATACAATCGCCTTTTGCTTTTATTTAAGTCAAATAGTTAAAAAGCACCGCACATTTATATCAGTACCTAAAATTGTAATTAAAATGAAATTGTAAATTGATAATTGAATACATCGTGATGAAGACATATAATGAAGTCCTTTTCAGAAGTATGAGAAAATCATATAATAAGGAAGATGTGGAGAGGCTTGGGGCCAGCTGTAGGACATATGTCTACAACGATATACAAACGAGTCAAAACAAATTTCAAAATTTTGTAATGCCACAATTCAAATTTACTAACGCTTTGCTTAATTTTTAAAAAAACAAAACTTAAGGATAGTACTAGATCTAAGTCTACGGTAAATTAAAATGCCTGTAAAGAAGATGGACGTATTTAAAGTTATGCCGATCTGTCACAGACACACTACCCTTGAAACTTAATAAACTTTAAGTAGGATAGATTATTTATACAGGACATATTGGGTAAAATATTAAAAGATCAAACTTACATTTTTCAACAAAATTATATTTATAATATAAAAGCGATGGTGACTCTAAATTTGGGCACTTGCTTTTAACTATGTATAAGCTGCGCAAACTAAGTTTGACTTAGATATACGCCAACCAAGTGATGTCCACTCAACTTGAATTAAACAATGAAGTTGAATTTCAATTCAGACTATAAAAAGCTAAACCTAAAACCGCTTAGTGTTCATTGTTATTAATACCTTCACACTATGATATACTATAGAGTATTAGAATTGCTTGTTTATGAAGCAATGTGCTATATCATATAGTAGAATAGTACGGCGTAGTCAGAATTAAGCTAACTAACTTTAATGATTTCTTATATTTACGCAAACACTACACATTATTAAATAAAACCACGGGTGCTGGAAAGCACCCGAAACGTCGGTAATATAAAAATAAGTTAATATACGCGATAAAATCCGTAAAATTAGTTTTATTTAAAAATAACTAACTTTAGTACAAAGAAAATTAGAATTTCAAAAACAACTATCATATGTTAAAAATCATATGTTATGAATACATTGGGTTGCAGCAACATAAAGGCATCCAACTCAGTATGTTGTAGCAGAGTTGCGACAGCTACAGCGCTGGTATTCTGTCTGTTGGTGACTCCATCTTCGGCGTGGGACTTTAACGAAGATGAAGAGAAGATTGACCTCCTCCAATTTAAAATATTTTTATAGAAAATATACACTATACATATAAATAAAATAGAAATGACTGTAATTTTGAAATGACTGCCTGCTCAGGGGGTTATTTATTATGCATGCCTTAATGGCATGAACGACCATTCGTAACAGTTTTGTCTGTCTGTCTGTTCGGACTAATTTTCTTTATTGCTGAACCGATTGTGATTATACTTCCAAATAGATAGAGAGAAATATCAGGTTTTATGCAAAATACTTAGATTATTTTTGTAAAATGGAACCATTGATAAAATTGGTTATTATGTTTATTATTTTCAAATCATTGATGATTATTAGAATTAAAAAAAAAAACTGGAAACCTTCCAAATAATCATCAATGTGATGTAAAGTTATGTTATCTAATGTATTGTTACAGCCTACTGAAGTACACTGCTGAACAGAAGCCTCCCCTATAGATTGTCTCGAAGGGGGGGTCGTTATTAGAAATACGCTGCTACCCATCTCCTGATTTGTTTCCTTCTGTCGATGTCGCCTCTTGGGACACCCACACGACGGAAGACTATCCACTACCCCATAATATCATATCACGTAGTAAATACTCCTACGTTGCCACTACACGGTCAGTATTGTAATGAATGATATGACATTGTGATTTTGCATACCTTAAGCGCAAAACGCATAGTTATGTTCTACTAGCGCCTAAAAGAGAAATTCCGACGTTTTGTCGCATGAAATCATATCTAAAAATCATATTGAACATATAAATGATATAAAAAGAACATTGTCAGAAAGATAAATGAATGTTGAACTTAACATTTTTTTTAAATCGATCAATTTCTATTTTAACATAAAAAGCGGTTTTAGCAACATAAGGTGTGGATTTATCAAGTCCGCATGTAGGAGTTGAAAAATTTATATTTTCAAAAGTTGTCGTGTTTGATAACTTTTGAAAATATAAATTTTTCAACTCAATCTATTATTTAAAATATAACAAAATAATAAATAATAATCTCTTCATCTGAATCTCTTAATCAGAATGTAAAGGCAGGTGGTTAATTTTGTTTTGTTTCGTTATAATAAATTTTTTTCGGCTGAGAAATAGCGAAATTTTCGGTGTTTTGAGCAGCCTTGCAGCCGCCGTCGTGAGTGGTTGTTTGTTTACAGTGATTCGTGCTGAAAAATATCGTTCGCTTTAGAAATACAACATATTTCCAAAACCAAATTTGATACATATTTGAGCAAGATAAGATATTATTATTATTTTTATAATCACAGATTTTTATTACAATATTTTGTTTCGCTAAAAGTACGCAGGATTTATTTATAAATATTCTTATACCTCTTGAACTTTACGGAGACCTGAAGGTGTACTTCGATATCTGCTACTTAAACTCCGCGACAAGTAGAACTAGGTGTGCCGAGATTGTGCTCATTATGTTAGTTATCATGAGACCTTACCCCCGGACTTGATGGAGTGACTTGAAGGTGTACTTCGGTGAATGCTACTGGAACTCCTCGAAGAGTGGTAATAGTAATAGGTGTGCTGAGTTTGGGCTCGTTATGATGAGACCTTACCTCCGAAGAGTGGCGGATTATCCTTAAGGCAAATTAGGCACGTGCCCAGGGCGCAAGGTTAAAAAGGCGTATGAGAAGTTTTTAAACGAAAAAAAATCGTCGTATTAGATTATTACTAAACCACTTACTCTCTCATCACATTCTTCATTTATGCCCCCCTGTTAATGGTACTCGTATCCTTATTATTTTGCAACTTTTAAACTATATTATAAATCATAATATAGTTTCTTTGCTAAATGAGTATATTTAATTTATAATAGATATGGCCCCTAGAGGGGCGCCGATGAGTTGCTAGGCTAGCCTAGGGCGCAGTCGACATTTAATCCGCCTCTGCCTCCGGACTTGACAGAGTGACCTGAAAGTGTATTTCGATGAATGCTACTGGAACTCCTCGAAGAGTAGAACTAGGTGTGCCGAGTTTGGCCTTGTTTTATTATTTGTGGTGAGACCTTACCTCTGGACTTGATAGAGTGACTTTAAAGTGTACTTTGGTGATTGTTACTGGAACGCTTTAACGAATAGAACTACAATTTACGTTTTTTTTTTTAATTTTTTCACTATATGACTGTAGTAGATAGAGCATTATGAGTCGTGGATTTTTGGATTTTCCAAACTTTTTTTTTTTTTTTATAGGATAAGGGTGACAAACGAGCACACAGTCCACCTGATGATAAGTGGTTGCTGTGGCCCATAGACATCTACATTAACCCTCGATTACGTATCAAAATGCAGACGTGTTGTCACCCGTGAGGACTAAGATGGAATGCCTCGTTTCCAGTAAAAAGGGTCTTCGGTTCTCTACACTCACCATACGAAACACAGCAGAATTAAGCTGCTATTTTACGCTGGTATTCTGTGAGAGCGTGGCCCTTCCCCGGTCGAGCCGACCCATTCGTGTTACAACTATACCAGAAATATAGCTGCAGCATGGCTCTACTACGTAAGAAATTAAGTTTGCCATTAATTATCGGATAATTGAAGTATAGTAATAAGGTTATTAGTGAAAACTTGTGTTTATTTAAACTACCTTTAAAAAATTAATTTAATTTTAGAGTTATACGTAATTTTTTAATGCGTTAAGGCATGCACAATTGGGTTTACCAATAGTCATTATATATGAATGTGACTTAATATGCTTAATTTTGCATGGCATATGGCTAAATAATAGAATCATATATGTAGTTTCGCATGCGGCAGAAGTGAAACCTTTAAATGAAATCAAATAAATAAAAATATGTAACAGCAAATGATTAATTTAATATGATAATTTTCAACCACAAATACGGGCTAAAATTTATGATTATTTTTTATTTCATAATTTGTATAAGTGATTTTATTTTATAGCAAATAAATGCCATGACCCTTATTTTTAGAAACGTAAAGCCTTAATTATAGTTTAATAAACCAAAATAATATTTTCTTTCAAGTAAAATTGTAATCGCGCCAACTGCCAACTAAATCTTGTAGATACCACCATTTTTCTGGGAATCACACTAGACGCGAAGCTTCAATAGAGCCCCCATTTATCAAAACTAGCAAGCAGACTTAGTTCTGCAGCATATGCCGTAAAAAAGATTAGAAGTCTAACCAGTGTTGAAACAGCTAGACTAGTTAACTTTAGCTATTTCCATAGCAAAATGTCGTATGGTATTTTGCTATGGGAACATGCAGCTGACACTGAAATTATATTTGTTTTACATAAGAGGACCATAAGAGCAATTTATGATTTAAAGACTAAAGATTCGCTGTGACAAAAATTTAAGGAAATTGAT